CCAGCCAGCATTATCACAAATATCGGCACCCCACAGGGATGTGTCCTCAGACCCATCCTCTACACCCTGTTCACCCTATGTCGCCTCCCATCATCCTAAAGTTTGCGGACAACACCACAGTGATTGGTCGCATCACTGGTCCCCGCCAGCAGCCTACAGGAGGGAGGTGGCCAGTCTGGTGTCATGGTGTGAGGACAATAATCTCACCCTCAATATGGACAAGACGAAGGAGATGTTAGTGGACATGAGGAAGGAGAGGAGAACTCATCAGCCACTGTTCATCCGGTGGCTCGAAGTGGAGAGGGTGAGCAGCTTTAAATACCTGGGTGTCCACATTAGTGAGGACCGCACTTGGACACTTAACACCACACAGCTGGTGAAGAAGGCCCAACGGCAGCTGTACTTCTTGAGGTGGCTAAAAGGTTGTGCATGTTGCCTAGGATCCTCAGCAACTTCTACAGCTGCATCGTCGGGAGCATCTTGACCAGCTGCGTCACTGTCTGGTATGGCAGCACTACTGCTATGGACCCCAAGCACCTGCAGAAAGTGGTAAAGACTGTGGAGAAAATCACCAGGACTCCACTGCCCTCTCTGCAGAGCATTTACCACTGCAGGATGCGTAGGAAAAATGCCTCCATCCTCAAAGACCCCATCCACCCCCGGCATGGACTGTTCACACCCCTACCCTCCAGTCTGAGGCTCAGAAGTGTGTAATGCAGGACCTCTAGACTGAAAAACTGTTTCTTTCCGACTGCCATGAGACGCTTAAATAACTGAGTCAGGATCTATCTCATGTAATTGCACCTGTACTGTTTACATACTCAGTTTGCACATGCATAATTGCACACTCACTGCTGAATGTTTGCACTTCACAGCTCCCACGTAGCATATACATTCTCTCCATTATATTGTGTTCTTGTTGTATTTTTATTGTGCTTCTTTCACTTACTGCTTTAAAGTGCCTTAGATTTGTGTTCCTGCCAATTTAGATTTGTTGTTACTGCTCATCCACTTAATATTTCACTTGTATTTTTGTGGCATTCATGTGGAAAGTAAGAAAGTAAGAATTTCATTGTACAGGGAAACACGTTTCCTAACTTTGCATATAACAAATAAATATTTTGACCTTTGACCTTGACCTACAGTACCAAAGTTTATTTTGGAGTGTTCATTCTGAATTTCACACACATAGTAATATATTTGATGCTCTTGTCAGACAGTCCAAATGATGTGATGACAAACTTATCATTGCACTCAGCACTTTTATTTTTGCTGTGATGCACATTTATAATGAAATAAGTGCATTTCATATACATTTTAAATTCATAGTTTGGTGTGTTAATTATCATTAGTTTTGGCAGTTCATGATGTATTTTTGTAAGTTTGGGTCTTAAGGAGAGACCTGCTTTCTTTTTTGGGTCTCAAGTTGAAAATGTTTGGGAAGCAAGCATCTAACTGAAATGAATATTGTATATCTTGATTAAATTTTTTCTTTATTTTATCTTTTTGACTCCTATTTTCATTTTTGCATTACCACCATGACTAATGCATTGTTTCTTCCCTCCTACACAATGAAAATTAGAGGACACAAGGTGAACACTAACATATTGAATGGATATACTGAATATTGCTTTTAAAAATAGAATTACCACTTTGTGGTTATGTGCCTCTGCCAGCCTGTCAGAATTAGACTGATGTGTGGTCACTGATCTTGACCTTTCACAACCAAAATCTAATCAGTTCA